TGCAAGGCTAGGAGATATTTCTATAAGTGGTCAGGTTTCTGTAGTACCCACATCTACAGCCTCTAGTGCTGTTACCGAAAGCAGTATTTCTACAAGCCTCCCAAACACTGTTCTTCCAGCATTGTCTGACCAGTTCAAGGCTAAATTTCCATTTGGTGGTCTATTGGACTCTATGCAAACATCAGAAACCTCAAAACTGCAACAACTAGTAGAAAACATTGATAAGAAGATGACAGATCCAAATCAGTGTGTCATTTGTCACCGTGTGCTCAGTTGTCAGAGTGCTCTCAAGATGCATTATAGAACACATACAGGAGAAAGACCATTTAAATGCAAAATTTGTGGACGTGCATTTACTACAAAAGGCAATCTAAAAACACATTTTGGAGTTCATCGAGCGAAGCCACCACTTAGAGTACAGCATTCATGTCCCATTTGTCAGAAGAAATTTACAAATGCTGTTGTTCTTCAGCAGCATATTCGTATGCACATGGGTGGGCAAATTCCAAACACACCATTACCAGATGGCTTCCAAGATGCAATGGACTCAGAGCTTTCTTTTGATGAAAAGAATGCAGAGACACTGAGCAACTATGATGATGATATTGATGAAAATTCTATGGAGGAGGACATCGAATTAAAAGATGATATAAGAGATCCCACCAAACCACTTCTACCTTATTCTGGATCGTGTCCACCTTCCCCCCCATCTGTAATTTCTAGCATTGCTGCTCTTGAGAATCAAATGAAAATGATTGATTCTGTCATGAACTGCCAACAGTTGACCAATCTAAAATCTTTAGAAAATGGGTCAGGGGAAAGTGACCACTTAAGCAATGATTCCTCATCAGCTGTTGGAGATCTGGAAAGTCAGAGCGCAGGGAGTCCTGCCATGTCAGAATCATCTTCATCAATGCAAGCTCTTTCTCCTGAAAATAGCAACTGTGAAAGTTTTAGATCTAAGTCTCCAGGCTTCAGTAACCATGAAGAACCACAAGAAATACATTTAAAGACAGAAAAATCTGACAGTCCCCCACCACCTCCTGTTGAAAATGGAGGCGCACTGGATCTGACCGCCACCAACCCCGGGAGGCCAGTCATCAAAGAAGAAGTTCCTTTTAGCCTGCTGTTCCTGAACAGAGAACGCGGTAAGTTTAAAAGTACCATTTGTAATATCTGTGGCAAGCCTTTTGCTTGTAAGAGTGCATTGGAAATTCACTACCGCAGCCATACTAAAGAGCGTCCATTTGTATGTACAGTCTGCCATCGTGGGTGTTCCACTATGGGTAATTTAAAACAGCACTTACTGACACACAAATTAAAAGAGCTGCCTTCTCAGTTATTTGAACCCAACTTTACTCTAGGTCCCAGCCAAAGTACTCCTAGCCTGGTCACCAGCACTGCGCCTACTATGATCAAAATGGAAGTGAATGGTCACAGCAAGCCGATCTCATTGGGCGAGGTTCCATCGCTTCCAGCTGGAATCCAGGTTCCTGCTGCACCACAGACAGTGATGAGTCCTAGCATCACTCCTATGCTGGCACCCCCACCACGTCGAACTCCAAAACAACACAACTGTCAGTCATGTGGGAAGACCTTCTCCTCAGCAAGTGCCCTACAGATACATGAACGCACCCATACTGGTGAAAAGCCATTTGGTTGCACTATCTGTGGTAGAGCTTTTACCACAAAAGGGAATCTTAAGGTAAGAAGGTAAACTTCATATTAAAAATACATAAAGGGTCATATTGAACCTGATTGTTTCAGCAGATGCTGGCTCCTCCTCCTCTTTGTCTTCCTCGAGTCAAATCAGAGCAGGAGAAATGGATTGAATTTGGATGTTAGGCTAAAATATTGTTTTGAATATAAATGACTTTTTGCAAGCTAGAGTTTCACATGCTTTTTCCTATCCTCCTTGTTAGTAACTACAGTTTAGCGTTTAAACTACTAAAAAGGCATTTAATCCTATTTGTGAATAATGGGAACAAGCCAATTTCATAAAGTTAATTTGAAGATCAATCCAATTTGGCAGTTTCAAATGACAATTCAGATAGAGGCTAATCAACAAGGGATGTGAACTCTTCTAAGCCTCTTGAACCCACATTGGAAGGTGGAGGGAGAGAAGAGATTTCCAAGCTTGTGGTTCAATCTCATTCGTCATCAAGCTAAAGTATGATTTGGCCTCAGATCCAAACCCCACCATTCTAAACCAATGTAAAATTAAATATTCCATATATATCATTATATACATCTAAAAATAAATTTTCATACTTATTCGTTTATCATATTTATATAATTGCCCATCTAGCAATCAAGCAAAAATGCTCTTTTCATGTACAAGATATTCTAATTTTTTTTCTTCCTCCTCCTTTGTTAAATAATGGTTTTTGCTCTCTTGGAATTATTTTTTTAATATTAAAAATGGTTATAATTAAAAGAATCCTAAAAAATCAATAATAATAATTTTAAGTCCACATTTATGAACCAATTTTCATCCAATTTTCCTGCAAAAGTTTCAGATTGCAGCTTCTTATACCATTATGTCTTAGAGAAGCAGTCTTTTCAGTAGTATTTTCCAGATACTAAGATTATATAGTGGGATGCAGTCCTTCAAAATTGGCAAATGCTCAGTGAAAAGGCCGTCTTGATAGTTACAGTGGCATTTTTTTCTTTTTTATTATTTAAGGGTAATACATTTTTTATACTAAAGAAATGTGAAAAGTAGACCTATAACATTTTATATCTCCACATAATCCAGGTAATTATAAGATTATAGGCAATCGAGGAGCCCTGTAACTGATGTTAGCCCAAATCTAAGTGATTTATAACTAGTGCAAAATAAATGAGTTGTTGTAACAAATATATTTGACTGTTTCTTAAGATATTTAGTCCCTGGCAATTTTACATGAATCAAATCTAACATAGTTTGGGGAGAAAAGGTCTATTCATGTAAACAGAAGATACTTAGACTTGTTAGAGTAGTCTTCAGTACTCTGAAGGGTCCTTGAACATCTGGAACAATTTTTAGGAGAAAATGAAAACTTGCATGCGAGCTGAATAAGAAAATTCCTTCTGCTTGACTGACAGGAAGCTTGCGTTCAGACCATTACAAATAGAGAAAAAATAAAATCAATATTTATTTGAAGAACAAGCAAAATTAATCTTTGCTTTATCCTTTTTATTTTATAATTATTTGCCATGGGTCTTGTGTCATTGGGCAGCAACATCTGTGCATAGTTGGTTTGCCGGAAACTTCATATAACTGAAGTTACTGCTTCCAAGTAAATATGAATATAATTGAATTGCAAAAATTCACATTCTTAAAAAGTTGACAAGATTTACAGGTTTATAACTTAAAAAGTCCCTGAAATACAGAGTAAGCCTAATTATCTTGAATAATAATAATCTTGCGCAGGAGAAAGTTAATGTTTAGCATTATTTGACATTTTAAATTGTGAAATTAGAATGTTTTCTATTGCCGATTTAAACTGTATGTCTGTCATCTTTGTAGATTGTGTAAATTTCTTTGCTCATTTGCCCATTTTTTTTCTATCTGTTCTTCCTCTAAAGGTTCACATGGGAACTCATATGTGGAATAATGCTCCTGCACGGCGTGGGCGTCGGCTGTCTGTGGAAAATCCCATGGCTTTGTTAGGTGGGGATGCTTTGAAGTTTTCAGAAATGTTCCAAAAGGATTTAGCAGCTCGGGCAATGAATGTTGACCCAAATTTTTGGAACCAGTATGCTGCAGCTATTACTAATGGACTTGCTATGAAGAACAATGAAATTTCTGTCATACAGAACGGAGGCATTCCCCAGCTCCCAGTAAGTTTAGGCGGAAGTGCCATTCCGTCTTTAAGTAACGTTTCCAGTGGAATGGACAAAGCTCGTACTGGTAGTAGCCCTCCCATCATTGGTTTGGACAAAGCGAGTTCTGAAACAGGAGCCAGTCGTCCATTCACGAGGTTTATTGAGGATAATAAAGAGATTGGCATAAATTAAAAGAATTCAGTACAAATAACTGTTGGACCACTGCTCAAATACAACATTTGTTCTTTCATGTACAGTTTGGGGAACTAAACTTTAGTTTTGTGGCCTAATTGCCTAGATAACTCTTACGATTTATCAATAGCAGAAATACATAACTTTGTGTCTGCTGAAAAGTTGTCTCGCAAGATTTGCATGGTACTACTTCAACAGTGAGCTGACCATTAGTGAGAACTTACGAACCTTTTTAATTTAAGCAAATGATAAATCATTGGATAATTCAATTAGGTACTGAATGAAGCCAAATTGTTTCAAATTTTGTTGCAAAGCAAAGCAAAGATGCCACCAGTTGAGTAAAAGTGGGCTTCACAATGGCATTTCAGTCCAGCTCTATCTTTGCTGATTTTCTTCTACTCAACTAGAAACTTGAACTGTTTTTAGAATTCTTCTAACATTCAATAAGTGATTTAGTACCCTAATGCTGTCTAAGATTACAGTATTCTTGTCTGTAGTATTTATAATGTAAAGATAATGCGGGTAACAGACAATATACTAGCCCCATTCTTAAATGAAGCTTTTGTATGGCAAAATACACCTGGCTATGTGACTTCTTTTTTTAAAGCAAGTTTTGTTTTACTATAAATAAGTGGTTTATTTTGATGCAGGCAAAATTGTGAAGTTTTATTGGGAAAGATAGCATGCTTTCAATGTGCAAGTACCTGTCAGTAACAAACCATTTTAATTTAAATCTTTGTAGCTGCTATGTGGACAGTTGTTCTCTTAAATGGAAAAAGTGTAGTGTGAACTTCAGTTCATAGTTGGAAAAACAAGTTACAGACAAACCTTATTACAGTAGATTATTCACAATACTATAAGCAGTTGTGAATAAAACACTTCATGTTATCAAAGGCTGTACAATAAAAGGCAGTGTTTGTATAATGTGGTTGCAAACTCTTAATTTATACTATTGCACTTTTAGTATTTTATATTTAGGGAGGTTTGTCTATAATTTGAATCTGAACAAAGATGTAAACTATTTTATAAATAGTACTTTGGCTTGAGGAAAAATGGGAGAAGGGTTTGTTGTGTTTGTCTTTAAGGTCAAACAGTATGAAAGATCTGTGCTCCTTTTAATAAAAAAAAACTGCTAAGAACTGTCAGATTCTTGGATATAGTGGGGCCTGCCATTTCTTAGACCAAAATGATTCATTTAACTTTTTTGTAAGCCCACCCTCCAACAGACCTTTGATATGTTAATCTTAGGGCTGTGATATCAGTGCAAGTCTAAGAGAGGGTAAAGAAAACATTGTGTAGGCTTAATTTTGCTGTAATCGGTTCTGTCTCTTTCACTCCCACCCACAAACTCTATGCTGACTGCTTAATAGCACTGGTATGTAAAGCAAAACAGAAAAAAAACATTCTAAAAACATTACGCAAATTCCCAATCTGTTTTATTTAATATTCTAAGATTTACTACAAAGCACAATGTACTCTGAATACGCTAATATAATTTTCATGTGTTTAAAGCATTGTTTAAAATTGTGACTAAAGGGAATGTTTCCACTCTGAACTAGGGTGCTGGTGAGGCTTGGGGCATAATCAAAACTTGAACAGTAAATGTTTTGTGTACTACCTCATTTTTGTGCATTACAAGCATGGTGGAATCTGACAGTAGGATCCTCCGTTCAAGAAAATTGTTCAAGGGACATTATGGGTAGCTGGGAAACAGCACACAATGTTTATGCCCCTGAAGAAAGAATCAGACAGTGAGGTCTTCTCAGTTGTGACTGGAAAAAAAAATAGGACAATCTCTTTTTTGTGCAACCACAACAAAACATTACTATAAGAGGATGGACTGTTTCTGCCATCATATCACTGAATGGAAAGTTTAAAAGACTTACTAGTGGTTTGTTACTATTTTGAAATGAACAATGAATTATTACAGCTCTGTTTTCTACAGCAATGATAGATAAAATATAAATATGGACATGTACATATTATTAAATATGTATGTGGGGTGTATGTGTGGGTGTGCGTAGACATACCACACACCGATACACACACACATCTGTACATTAAAACACATTCTATTATCAATGATTGAGCAACATTTGTGTTTGGGGTGATTCAAAATTGGAAAACAAAGAAAACTGAGGTTGCTTAGTGTTGCTGTTTTTTCAGCAAATGAATGTTTTTATTTATCTGTGTCCATTCCTGGTGTGCTTTATTTTTTAGTGTTTGGTACCATGTAGTGTTATTTCTTTTCCCTAAAGGATGTGCATATCTTAAAAAGAGATGTAAAGTGTTGTAAATAAGATGGCTGATGAAGGTACAGTAAGACTGACCCCACTTTGTATTCAGGGTTAGGTTCTTCCTCTCTGCATGGTGAAGAGAGACACTTATTTTTATACTGTGATACCATGTAGGGCTAGGAGCCTCCCTGAATTGTTGGGAATTGTTACCTAGATCCAATATTTTTTATTATTAAATCTGTTGGCTCGACACATCTGATTGAAATGGATGTCTTAGTCTAGGTTACTATTTTTGTCACATGAAATTGAATAAAATGCAGGATGTAATATTATTTATGAATTGTGTTCCATGCTTATTCACTAATAGGATGAGGTACAGGAGTGAGACTTCCCACAGCTCTGCAGTTAAAAGGCTCAGCACCTTGTATTCACGTTCAGGACCTATTTTCACATATGCCTAGTACTGAGAAGCTACTTCTTCAGTTAAAAAAAAACAAAACTCCTACGAATTTACCATATCAGCAATGGAAAAAAAAAGCTGTATCAAAAATGACAATGCTTTATAAAACAGTTTTTTATAGCTAACTACCTTGGAAGTAATCATTCTATTAAATTCAATTTATGCAAACTGCAATGCATACTCTGAATGGCTTTGATCTGGTAATTTCATGATGCACCATTGAACTATTTTTTGCAGTTTTTATGTCCCTTCAGAGATGCTGAAGGAAAAATGGCAAGAAAACTTGAAAGGTGTTGTGTCATGAATATATTCCAGTGGGTAATTGAAACACAGCTTTATGATAAGTAGAGATATACTCTCTAGCAAGTGAATTGGCCATGAATCTGGTTGGATGCAAAGATGTATTACTAAAATAGATCAGTCGTAGTTGCTTCAGACTATGACACTGTAATAAATCTTCTTGAACTAACAGAGTAATTAAGCAGCTTTAGTTTCATAAGCATCTATTTGAAGCTGTGATGTCAAAATGGCGTATGTATTGGGAAATGACAATATTACTGTACGTAACTGTAGTGTGACATCTGATGCAGGAACAAAAGTTGTGTTACTTACCTGGTAATGTTGGAAACATTTCTTTTTCTCCCACAGAAACCCATGTGTAGCAACTTTTAGGGTGTAACACTGACAAAATATATTTTGTATCTAGAAAGCTTACCTTATAAGAAATATATCGAAATATATTTGTCATATAGATAGGGAAATGCCTGAAATGGCTTTATATTTATGGCACAAAAGTGTATGATCTGGGCACACTGTTAAATAACCCTCTTCAGAACTTTCAAGATGGAAATGAATCTTTGGTGGGAATATTATTGGCTAATAAAATTATAGTATAACACAGCCTGCAGATGTTAATATTTTTAGACTAAAATGTTCTAAAAAATGTGGGATTTCTCCCTGCCTTGCATTAAAAGGAATAGACATTTTGTAGAAAGTAGAAAAATAGAAATAACATTTAAAACTAAGCTACTTTGTTCACCACGCATCTCTATTCTATTGAATAACCTCTCTTTTTATGACTCATATAATCTATATTAAATAACATTTTGGAAAATTAAATACCAACCATATATCTAAGGCTTTATTTCCTGATGTGAAACACTTCAGAATTTCCAGTCACCTTGATATTTGGCTGACCTGGAGAAGCTGAAATTTCATTATTGAACATCTTTGGTGAGAATACTACTATTATAAGCATCAAATTCCATATTTAAGTAGAAAAATGATTAATTAATAGGTCATTGGGATATTTCATCTCAATTAGTTTCTAAAACCATTCTAGGGAACTTGCTATAATGTACCTGCCAAAGATATGCAATGCCTGTGGCATTCTATCTATAGACATAAGGCTTTCCCATTTTTCACTACTCTACAATGATAGAGAAGTGATAGAGTAGAAATATTTCTATTAATATGTGATTCTCAACATGAAATAGTTATTTGAAAAAAAAATAAAAAAACCATTTCATATATTCTGTTTTTTTCTTCAAACTATATGGAAAATAAAAAGCAATTTTTAAAAAATCGGGATAGGAAGACAATGATTTACTAATGTGGAAAAAAGCAACTGCTGTCAAAGAAAATAAGATAATGTTAATGAATGGTAGACATGAATGGTCAGTTTATATAAACACAGATAAACATCTATGAAATGGTTAAAAGAAAATTACATAAAGCCATCTTACTCGATTTTCTGCATTAAGGCAAAAGTACAAATTCTCCATAACTTGTCAGGTTAAATCCAGATAGACAAAGCTTTTTGAGGTGAAATGTTTTTCTTTGTTGGTAAAATAGGTTTATCTCATGAGCTTCATGTCTTCTTCCTACAAATGAATGTGAAGCCAAAGATGCAATCCTAATCCAATTTTATGTGGAAATTGCTATGCAATCCTATAACAATTCTCTCAGAAGCAAGTTTCACTGACTTGAATGGAATTTACATGGTAAGCATGTATAGGACTGAATTATATATCCCATTTATATTTATGGCAGTGACACATTTTTGTTAAAATTCTTAACTATTATTCTCTACTTTTATATACTCTGCTTATTATATGCAATCAGTTGTAGCAGCTTGTGCCTAACTAAGAAAGTGATCCTAATTTTACAATGCATTTGTACTTATTTATCAGTCCACTATTTTTATTTTCATTTCTCAAACCCACACAAGTCTGAGATCTTTTCAAAAATAGTTTATTAAAAATTATTAGATGGGTTCTTATTACTAATTATAGTTTTATTGTAATCTGAATTTCAATGGTTCATACAAATTCATTTATCATTTCAAGAAATCATGACTCTGCAAAGGTTCAGTCCTCCCCTCCATAATTAGCTTTTAGTAGCTAGAAAAAGTATTAAGAAATGGTTGATATAACTCAGAGCTCATGTTCTATTTCATATGAGGGAATTCCCAAAATTACTATGATATAGCATTATTAATATTCCCAATAACATACGGTCCTATTCATTCCCAAGAACAAGTAACAAAATCATGAATATGTTCCTGCTCAATGCAGGGAGAAAAGTGACCCTGAGAAATTGGTATAAACCTGGTTAATTGAAGCAGGAGCAAATATATGGTTCAAACTAATGTACACTAATGACCTAATAGACATATACACCTCTGATTTGAAATATCTACTTGCCGTGTTCATGTGTTAGAGCAGTGGTTCTCAACCTTTCTAATGCCGCGACCCCATAATACAGTTCCCCATGTTGTGGTGACCCCCAACTACTTATACATCACCGGGTGCCAGGGGCATGGCCAAAGGGAGAAAAAATGGCGGACAGCCTTGTTTGGCGACCCCCGTGAAATGGTCGTTCGACCCCAAATGGGGTCCCGACCCACAGGTTGAGAACCACTGTGTTAGAGCTTGCTGCTTTTGTCATAATTCTGAAAGCAATGACATGCTGTATGCTCTGCTCTGCTGATATAATGTGTATAAAATAATTCTTGCAATATAATGCTGCTTTTTTTTTCATTTTGCAGCTATTGATCAAGTTTACATTGCAAAATTTTATGTTCACTTTGCAGTTATTTTAAATTAAGCACACAAAATAATCAAAGATCGTTGTGTTGCCCAGCTAGGAAATCAAATTTTTGCAGCATTAAAAAACTGTTCCAAACTGGTTGAGAAAAACAAAGTCACTGAGCATTTCCTGTTTTTCTAGTTCTATACTCTTGCAATCCTAAAACATGAATTCAACCAGCAGCCCTAAATAGTAGGAGACTCAGGACAGACAAAAGTGCTTCAGATAGCACATTATTCAGCAATACCACTGACTACCACTATCTCCAATTAGATCAAAATGAATTGTGAAATATATTGCAGGTAGTCCTTTACTTATGACCACAATGGAGCCCAAACTTTCTGTTGCTAAGTGAGACATTTAAGTGAATTTTGCCCCATTTTATGAGCTTTCTTGCTACAGTTAAAATGAATCACTGCAGATTTTAAGTTAGTAACACAGTTGTTAAGAGAATCTTAATCTTAAGTGAATCTTTCCCATTGACTTTGCTTGTCAGAAGATCGCAAAAAGGGATCACATGACCCCGGGACACTGCAAACAACATAAATACGAGTCAGTTGCCAAGCATCTGAATTTTGATCATGTGACTATGAGGATGCTGCAACAGTTGTAAGGGTTAAAAAAATGGTCATAAGTCACTATTTTTTAGTATTCTTGTAACATTGAATGGTCACTAAATGAACTGTTGTCAGTCAAAGACTACCTGTACTACACAAATAAAAAAAAAATGTAATTTATATCATGGGAAATGTATTTTCATTTGCTCCCTCCTCCACACATAGTTGCTTGTGTTCACTAACTACAAAATGTAGTGAGGACTGCCAATGTTATAGAAGATAAGATTGTCACTGGCGATTAGTCATTACTCCCAAACTATACTTATATATGATACTTATATATGATATGGCATGATTCCTGATACCATTTATAAGCAAACAAGCTTCAAAAAATAAACTGATCCAAAAAGGTGCTGTTTTTAAACAAGTCAAAGGATCTTAAGAGTTTACTGCATATAATTTTCAGAATCTTGTTAGATCACAAATTTAGGGTATGCTAAAATAGCTGCATGTCTTATGTATCATAACCCTGGGCAGCTTACAAGCAATTAAGATTTTTCATAAAACTTCTCACATGTGAGAAATTAATATGATACTTTTACAGTTATTTTCTGAAGTAGATTTGTGAACAAGGTGCACAGTACTGCCTGTCTCCAGAATGTTGGCAGTAGCTTTATATAGCACACCCCTCAGTATCGCTTTTTGGATGTTTAATTTTCAAACTGCCTGCTAATAAGTTTAATATGGGTTGTATAGCACATAATCTATAACACCTTCTAAAAAAAATCCACAACTAATATGGCTGTTGTCATTCCAGATGCCTTGAGCTACATGAGACCACCATTACTATTAGTCTTTCATTTTACTCAGGTGAGTTTTCTCTTCTTGGAGCAAGATAATGATAAAGATTTCTGGGCACTGTAATTTGTTACACAGAGTAACATCTATAGTAATGTAGAATAAATAATGTACTGAAATATACTAACCCAATAAAATATGACTTATGTTCACTTCATTAAAATTTTATATATAAGTACATGTAATTAGAATGTTTTAGAACTTAACGTAGCCTCTGTCTTCATGCAAATACCTTGAATAAAGTATTGGAAGGTTGTGGGTATGGCTATTTCTAAAGTACTTATAAAATGGAGAGCAAAAATTGTTTTAAAAAAGAAACTAGAGTTTCTGCAGGTTTCTGAGGTTCAGAGTAGCTATTTTGTTGCTTGATATTTAATATGCAATGTCAAATTCATATTTCGGAAAGGCAAGGACCCATCAATCTGATTTTCTTTTTATCTCATATCGTGCCACACAAATGTAATAAGATAGATTCGATGTGATTCCAATCCTTAAGTTTATGTATATGTGCAAGATAGAAATTGAAGCATTGAAAGATCAGCAGAAAATTACATTTCCCTTCCATTTATTACTAATTCAAACAACATTCTTTCAGATAATGATTTGGAATACCAATTATAAAATGAGTTTGGGGAACACATAATATAGGCTTTTTCTATTAATGTTTTGATTGGACATCTCTTAAGATTGTTAAAATGGTGTTAGAAAGATTATTTGTAATTTTGTACTAAACATTTGAGATTTACCACTATAAAAAAAAATATGGGTTCACTGAGCATCGGGACTAGAGAAGAAGCTCACTATAGTCCAGCATGATGACTGAAGAATCCATCAATGGATTATGTCAGTCCTCCTGCCCAATCAGACTAAGTTGTCAAGTTGTCACGCCCCTCTTTGACTGGGACCTCCCAGTTTCATCTTAGTCTTTTGCCCATGAGGACGTGATAACTTGTCTTTCTTCATTGAATAGCAGGTCAGACTAGATATTGTTAAAGCATTGGTGGATTCTTCCTGGAGAATAGGAGGATTATAGTTGGGTTGTTCCTTTCTCTGGGAGGTCTGGCCTTTTTTCCCTTTCCCTTGGGGGCAGAGTAGTATTTCTCTCCTTGCAAGGGGGGGTGGCTGCTTTTCCCTAAACTCAGCAGTTCGCTGAGTTAATTCCCAATTTAACTGAAGGGTAGAAGTGGGGGGTGCTCCTTTCATTTCAGTAAATAAAGGAACTGAGTTCTTCCAATCCCCTTTTGAACAGCGGACACGTTCTTTCTAGCGGCCACCATTTTGAGGCCACGTGGCTTC